GTTCACGTAACCTACTCATATGTCTTCTTCTTCTTCTTCTTCTTCGCTTTTTAAGCTTATTGCATATGGCATATTTGCTTATTGCGTGCTCTCAACTTAGTGTCCTAGATGCACTTCCACGGTTATTAATTGAGAGCTTTCGATGCCTGTACCATTTTGGCATTGGTATAATTGTGTGGCAAGTCCAATCATACTTCTATACCCAGGGAAGTCGAGAAATTTTCCAACCCGAAAAATTCCTAGACCGGACCGGGAATTGAACCCAGCCACCTCCAGCATGGTCTTGCTTTGTAGCTGCGCCTTTACCGACTGAGCTAAAGGAGGCCCCCGTTATTAAGCTTAAATTTTCCTGAATCTAATGGAACTGCCCTGAAACTCTTGATATTCGCTGAAATAAATTTTCCTGAAATCTATTAGATTGCCCTGGAGCTGTCAAAACTTACTCTTAAAGATCTTTTAACTTCCCTACATTTCTATCAATCAGAACTTTTTAAAAGTTTCGATTTTTTTTCTGATGTTAATAGATCTACCGTTTTAAATTCGACCAACCGAGCTTAATACATTCACAAGCGAAAATAATTAATCTAGTAATCCAGATGGGCATCCGAAAATGCCTTTATGCATTTTGGTGAGCAACTTTTATAAGATGAGCATACGAAGATCGATATTTCGATCATTTTTATGAATTGACCACTTTTATGGATGTTCTAAGTCTCCCAGAGGACAGTTTCGTGACCACCAGAGTGCGCATGCTGGTTAGGTATATCAATATCGTCGAAAAAATAATCACGAAACTCTGTGATCAATTTCAGTTCGAAGTTCGACGATAAGTTTAGCAACTATCGGTTGCTAACTAAAATAGCAAAGGCTAAAGTTGTCAAACTAGTAGCCCGAAAAGCAACGCATTGGTGCGGGTGCTCTTAGGAGTTATAAATCTTTTCGACTGGTTGCAGTTTGTGACAGTCAGCACCCTTTGCTCTTCCCAGCATTTGAGTTCCATTTTTACCGTACAGTATGATATTCCACAGTATGGTTCTGGGCCAACAAACTGTGAATTGGAACCTAACTTTGCTAGGTCGTCTGCCCTTTCATTCCCTTCAATGCACCAGTATCCTGGTACCCAATATAAGTTTACTGAGTTCCGTTGGCACAGTTGCCGAAGCGAGAGAATACATTCCCAGACGATCTTTGATGTACATTTGCAGGCACTCAGTGCTTTCAGCGCTGCTTGACTATTAGAAAAAAAAAACACAAATATTTGCACATCTATATTTCCTCCTCAGACAAACATGTATACATTCAAGTATGGCTACAATTTCCACTTGAAACACTGTTGGAAAATGTACCATCGCAACTGAAATATTTGTCCCAGGGCCAAAGATTCCTGCACCTATTCGTATTCCAATTTTTGAGCCATCTGTGAAATACATGATTGAGCCTTGACGAACGTTAGGACCACCAGTTTCCCAATCCGAACGTACCGTTTCACATACGTTGAAGGGAATTTCATAGTTGTTCTCTGGTTTCATCCAGTATCCATTCATACTCATCACTGGTTCTCTTTGGAAGTATTGTAAGATGCTTAGACGACCAACAAGATCACCTGGCATGACAATGAAATGCATTTTAAATTAAAAATAATTCAATATTCGTAGTTATTTTCAATCACACATTTGAAATCAGAGCATAAGTCCTCGTAATTTTATGGTGAATACTTAGGGGGTGATCCCCTTTACTAAAAGGAGGATTACAATTAAATCTAAGAATAACTCCAGGAGATCTTCAAAGAAATTCGGAAAATAACTTCAGAGAACCCCCAGGGAACAGACCAGAATATGTCATTTTAATGTATTTTAATGAATTTTAAAACAAGCATCAAGATTTCCATTATTCCAGACATATTCAGGAGCTTTGTATAAGTTGAGGATATTTTCAAGAACGTTTGGAAATTATGTAGATGTTCAGGAAACCTTTTAGAAGCTATAGGATATTCTCTTCTTAGAAGTGCAACGAGCTTTGTAGGAAAGAAGCAAATTAAATAGCAAACCGTGGAACTACGCATAACTTCATGAAAAGGTTCAGGGAATTCCGAAGCAGATCAAAACATTTCGTAAAGGTTCAGCAAATTTCTAGGAACTTCAGAAACCTTCGTTTCAGGTTAAGGAACTTCGTAGCAGTTTTTAAGAGATCTTACTTCAAAAAAGCCCAATGAGCTTCTTGGTTGTCTTTTGAACTTCGTTTGATATCATGGACATCCCAGATGATCAGAAATATTAATAGAATATTGGAGGGCTTTTCCGGAAGTTCAGTGAAGTTTATTGATGTTCTGAGGACTTGGTAGAATTAAGATAGCTCAACAAAAAAAAAAATTGAAACAAGTTCAGATAAGTTAAAGGAAATACACTCGGATATTGTTCCTAGATGGCAAGATGGCCAGGAAGTATTCAAAAGATCTACAGATCTGAATATTTTTATTTTAAAACATCGCGTTGATTAATTATTCGATTGTTCAAAAACACTAATAACGTCTCTAAAATAGTCTTCCAAGAAGGCTGCCTGATCAGGAAGCATTCAGAAGATATCCAGCTAATCGAAGATTTTAGTTAAGTGCTGTAGATATGTTTTAATAGATAATAATTGATAAGCTACACCAAGAAGGAACTTAAACTGAAGTCAAAATATTCATTTATTTAGAAAAAAAATCTTTCTCTGGAATTCCTTCGGAAGCCAAATCACAAATCATGAAATGTCTTCAAAATATCTGCGGGAAAAAATGTCTTCACTGGATTTCAAATTCAAATTGGGTGTGTAGGTGCTTTATTTTCGTGGCGTTTTATATCGACCATGTGATGGTCTTCGCAAACGCCAGTGGATGGATAGAATTAATGGAAACTCTCAATTCTCAACCCTCAATTTTGAACCACTGGGCCAATTTCAAAGATCAAAATGTAAAATGAAAGTTAAATAAAAATAATTTATAGGAAAAATATAATGAAACTATAAATTTGAATTCAAAAAAACATAGATTGTAATTGCTTTCTATGGTTTTCATGATTTAAAGAAAGAGAGCGCATTATGTTTTTAAATTTTTCCTTGAAAATTAAGGCTCTTTTACACAAGATATAAGAAAATCAACGATGTATTTCTTTTTCATTTTTGAGCTATGTTTTTTTTTTAAGTTAACAAGTTTTGGGATTACGCTCAATACTCCTATGTGAATGGACTACCAATATGAGGCAATGTGAGCGTCTGAAAATTTAAAATTTTCGCTCCAAAGTGCTTAAACAATTCCAAATTGGGTTCTGATTAGCCTCCCAAAATTTAAACTCATTTGGAAGAAGCCACAATCAAACAGAACCATTTCAAGTATGTATATACATTACTGTGGGAAAACAATATCTTTTAGTCAAGTAATTACGCCCAAATCTCGAATCAGTCGATATATCGATTGCTTTCGATGCAAGACAAGCAAATACACTTTTTGACACCTTATGCTTCCCGAATCCAACTAGTAGGCTAAGAAATTATCGTTCTCAATGTCGATCTCTCCCTATCTCGATGGTCCCTTCAATATCAAGATAAAGAAAGTTGACTGTACAACAAATAAAAAAAAATGCTCTAAGAAGACGGTTATCATGGACTTTTAAACCTATTCAACCAATCGGAAGATTAAAACCCGCTAGACCATTAACCAACACGTTGTACAACCGAGTAGCATTGCGTTTGGGTCTCATCACTACATTCATGGTGCCAGCTGATATCCTCCTCATTTAACATCTCTGTATCGCTCTCGTGACCTAGAATAGCCACTATGCCACTCGTGTTATGATCATCAACGGAAAGCTCCATCCACCGCCGTTCCCTACCTTTCTAAACATACAAACACACACACTGAAAACATGCTTCTATCGCATGTACCCACCAACGACACCTGAGCTGCCAATTTTTGCTCAATTAGGAAATGGAGTCACTTGGTTTGCAATATGCAGGCTAATTAAATTGCAGCCACCGACGACGACGATGACGACGACTGTTGTGTGTAGGCACGTAGGTACCGGAATAGGTGAATCCGAGGGCGCAATGTTTGTGTTTAATTGTCACCCACACGTGGCGTGCCTGGACCATCATCAACGAGAAAAGGCCATCCAACCGAATTGCCCTTGACGTATTCGTACGAGCGAGCGAGCATGGGAAGAAGGCGAAACGTGCTTTAATAACACTAATTGATCCACCGCATCCGGAATTATTGATTTACAGAGAGGAAGTGCACCCTAACCTCAATCCGGAAACGAGTAAGCAGATCGCAGTTACCCAATCGAACAAAAAATCCATTCTCGATTCATTTTTGAATAGGTCCTATTTGTCGATCGAAAAATCGATTAACGTGATTCGATTTCTAACGCGATTCGTAATTTAAAATAAATAGGCCCTATTCAAAACGACCTCCAGCATTCTTCTCACTCGTAGATCGATAGTATCTCGCCATGGCAACTCAGCAAAGTAACCCCTGCTGTCACATTGCCTAGCATTCTCTGTAATAATGATTCATGAAGTAGATACCATGGCATGCCACAAAGGTAGTGTAATCAATTTTCCCTCTATTCTACTTTCCATGCGTAATCAATCAATTTTATTGCGATTCATCCCTCTCACCGCATCTTGAGTCATTGCTTGCGTGCGTAAATTACCGCCTATCTCGCTCTTTGTTGCCCCCCCCATAGCTACGTAGTTGCGTAGATCCATGTTGTAAATATTCCGTTTCCGATCTCCTACTTTACGGTGGCTCGTTCTCCTGAGCCCCCTCATTCGTATTTGTCAATCAAATAATGCCACCAAAAGAAAAGAAAAAAAAAATCCCACCTCCAGCCGAGCATCGAGAGCAACCCAAAATCGAATTAACACGTGTCTTTTCTCCGCATATCTATCCCCAAATGCACGGCTTCGTCGTCGCTGTCGTATTTCTATGCTTTCTGTTTGTGACGTGGCATCCCAATCTCAAGGACCCACGGGATACCATGCGCGACAGTATTTTCCGTATGTTTCGTCCGAGAGCGACCTCCAACGCTACAAAGCAGTGCCATTAAAGCAGAACTCGAGCCACGAGCCGCGGACCAGTTCATCACTTTCTAATGTGCCTTCAGACTCTAATAAAACTAAGGTACAACCGCGCTCAATCGATGGTTAGATTTGGTTCGACTGATTGAAGTATTGTTCTCTCATCTTATCTTTGCAGCAGGATAATGGATCAGCGAAATACTTTCAGGGAACAAGACAAACAATAAATATGGGTGAAAAAGTAGCACAGGTAGGTGGAACTTGTTATTGATACTGCAACAAGCTGATGATATTGATTGCTCAACTGCAAATGAAAGAAAATGTCTGCTATCAGAGTATCCGATCAATTGACTACCTAGTTCTTATAATACCCGAGACGCACAATTTCATCGTGATAAGTGGCATAAGCTTGATTATGACTTAAATTGGTAGTATACAAGTTTCAATAACCGTTTTGCAACAAGCGTAGAAGTACTTATTTAAGATAGCAAAAATGGCTGTCTAAGGCAGCCGAGTCCCTCGTATCACAACACAATACTTATATTAAAGCTATACCCATTTGCAGTGATGCATTTGAACGCGATCAATTCGAGATCTGATCAAGAGATCTGAACTTGCATTCAATTTGGATGGAAGCCCGTGCAGTTCATAAGAAAGAACTCGAGGAGGCTTTTCCAGAACGGACCATGAACGCTGGGTGCCTTTTATGAGTTGCTATGGTTCATTTCACTATTATTTTGTGTTTTTCGATATCCACTACTACTCTTTGGACGATTTGGTAATTTTCTGCGGGTTTTCTTGCTGATGATGTGTTCTTTGATGCTGCTGATGAATGCACTGTTGCTGCTGATATGTTTTCTACTAGTTCTACTATTGTTTAAATTGTGCTGAGCTTCACTGTAGATGGAACACCCAGCGGCATGATGCTGCTCGTTTGCTCATTGGAGACATTCTGCCAGTGCTGATAAAAATAATTTCTTCTATGCAGAAATGTAAAAACTGAACCTGCCCAAAAATGGGTAAACTATGTTAGGAGTGAAAAGTTGACAAATGGACAACATCGACATTAATCCGATCGATTTTGTTCATTTGTCAACTTGTCACTCCCAACATAGTTTACCCATATCTCAAAATGACAAAATGACAAGCGATCAACGCACCGAATGATAACGCTATGTCAGAAGTGGAAAGCAGTAATGATATAATCTGCTTCCTTTGTTTTCATGACAAGCAGTCTATGCGACACAGCTCACTCGGGGCCTAGGGGCAGATCACTTAAGGTGCATTTATTATAACAAAAAAAAATGCATTTTCTCAGTGCATTTTTGCTATGTGTAGCTTTCAGTGACACCTCCCACCAATACATGCATGTATACATGAAGGGTTTTGTCCTGTTTTATTGTTCGCTTCGGTTTCGCTCAAATCCACACTCCTGGCTTGAGAAAATTATTCCAGAAGCTCCTCGACCGAGAATGCGGAAAAAAATCCCATAGCCCTCCCAAGTGACATTGCAAGCTTTATAGAAGTTTTATAGCATTCTACAAGTCCAACTCATGTTCTAAAGAACCCAAATTGTTTCTTGAGCTATTACCATCAGAAAAGCGAGTTTTTGGTCGCCTTATTGGAGTAATATTTAATTTGCATGGCAAAATTGTGTTCAGATTAAAAACGGTCAGATTATCGGAGGTCCATGGTACATCATTTGCGACAGAACTACAACCCCCCTCATCCCCCTCTACGGCGTAACTCAGATTAATTTTAATTACTGGCCCTAGCCGACGTCAAGGTAACCCGACATTCAGAAATCCGGGAATCCGTGTAGGTAGGAGTATGATGCCATTAAAGAATATTTTACATACATCTAGACTAAAAACTGAAAACCTCCCAGTCACGAATGACCCAAGAGCGTTAAAGTGACTATAATAATAATAAAAAAAACCTCCCAAGAGTAATTCAAGAGACCCTTGAGAATATTTTTTTTTTTTCAAACATACAACAGTACTGCTGGGGATTTCCACGTTTTGGAAACATCACATGGAAAGTTCACAATTGACTTTGGAGGTTATTGAAAATCCGCGCGGACAGATATTATCCCTTCGTCTGTGCAAAAAAAACCAACGTAACCTATAATCTGGGGTCAATTTGCCCCAATTTTACATTGCCATATCTTAGCGAAATTTCAATAAATTTTTGGAGTTGGTTGGAAATGCTAACGTGAAGCTTTAGTGTGATGATTTATTAGCTAGAGAATGATCTTTAGAAGAGGGTAGGTGGATAGTTCCGTTAGAGTACGGCAGTATGAACATTGAATAGAAGTTGAAAATGAGCGGAGGGCCATTAATGCGACAGTTTTTTTTTTAAAGATAGACGCACATTTTTGCCTAACCCGTACGATGTACGTGGAGACTTGAAGTATGTCTCCAGGTCTACAGGCAAAAATGTGCGTCCCTCTTTTGCTCATAAACTGACTGCGACTGTGGAATAGTTCTAGCGACGTTTTCATCACTACCTAAAGCCCCACGTTGCGAGAGCATTTTTGATCATTCCAATAGCTCGAACTTTTTCTTTTTCTAATTCAGCAGGGCCATTTTGTATTGTATTTTTTTTCTACATGCATAGGGCATTTTAATGATCGAGCAGGTTCTTTTTCTTCTGTAAATAATATCTTTTCCTAGAGTACCGTGATAAGTCCTTTTTACCATCTCGGATTTCTTTAAGAAATCCTGTTTGCGTTTTCAGCAGCTCTGCACGTTGGTTTTTCTTCTGCACACTTTGTTGATTAAAATCGGCATTTCATCAGGAAATCCAGCATCGTCCTGAGGATCAATGTTCTCCTCATTACTGCTGTCTGGATCTGGTTCTTGACGAACTGCTCTGTTAATCGTGAAATTCCAGAGCACGAAGGTTCTCAATAATCAACATCGACTTGATCTGCCGATCGTGAGGACGTGACAGTCAGTCCCAACCCAAAAACGTTGCCTATAAACAACTTATATTACTTTCCAATTACTTTATATGCAAAAACTTACCTTCAGTAGCAATAGCTTTATCTAGTTAAAGCAGTGCTACAACTGCTTCCTCACATGATGTGAGATTTGCCATCTGGTTCGGGCCTCCTTCCGTCACACGTGCCTCAATGCTAATGTGGGATAATTTCCTATTGGTTTTCTACTTATTATCATTCCATACAATGAATTACATTAAAACACAAAATAAGCAATAACACAATTCTGGCATAATTTGACAGTTGGGAAAAACTGTTTTTGTAAACAATGACTATAATCACCGATTTCTCGCGTATCAAACCTGAATTCCGAAAACTAGCATCACAGTTGGTATAGTTTGTTTGCGAGAGCCAGTTTTTGTTCGTTAGACATCGGTGATTGGAGCCATTGTTCACAAAAGCAGATACACTCGAATCTCGAATCACTCCGTAATTATCAATCAGTACTTACTTTCTGCCATCCAAACATAGACCGGATTGGTGGTTTCAGACATCACCAAATTTGTTGAATTTAATCGAATCGTGAAATTTGAAAAAAAACTTACTTCTTCGCTTCCATTTCCACTGGTTATCAATTAGAATTAGAATGAAATTTGAGAATGACAATCATCGCTCAATTTTGACTGCAAGAATGCAGTGAGATTTCATCCGAGGTGACCTTTCTCACTTCATTCGCCTGTCAGAATCGCGTGAGCTTGTTGACTCGAGTCGTCTCACCTCACTCGTCACGCAGAATAACCCTGTATGTGTCGACTTGATCAAAGTATGCTATGCTATTTGAAAAACCAGAACTCATGGCTTTCATCTCCAGAAGCTCCATGAGGTAAGACATATTTTAGCAGCAAACTACAGCATTGGGAGATTTCCCTTCGAATGAAGCAGAAATTCACACCATTCAAACCCATCGATGGTACACCAATATAGACCGATAACTTTTCAAATCCTGAGACATAAAGCTTATTCTTCTTCTAAGCTTTTTACGCTTCTGTAACGAGTGTTATTAATTAAGAGCCGTCTATGTCAACCAATGCATGGATTTGTATATTGTGTGGCAAGCACAATAATACCACATGACATATGTGGAACTTTGAATAACATGACGAAGTCATCTCATCTTGCTTGCCCTGTTTTAAAACTGATATCGCACTGTTTGCCCACACGTCAAATATTTGACCCGTAAGTTTTGCCAAATAATACTATTTGTCATATTTGTTTGCCTAAGCCATTACATTTGTCTGATATTTGGAAAATAGTTGAACAAACACAACAAAATGGTTATTTGACCAGACATATTACATTGTTTGCAGTTGATCGAGTTTATTTATTTGGCCTCTGATTTCATATTTAATAGCTGATTGTATCTGGTTCAATTTAATTTATGTCAAGAAAGCAAAATTTTGCTACTCTCAGACCTCATCCCAGAAAGGCGTGAATCATAGTTCATAGATCATATGACCCATATCACACAGCAATCGAATATTCTTTATTTATGCATGAAAACCAAAGACCCAACGACTGCGAATACGAAGAAGTCTTTGAATACAAATTAGCAGACTACGAAAAAATAAAATTTAAATTAAACAGTGTCAATTGGCAATTAATTTTAAGGAATGTAGGAAATGTCAAAATTTGTATAGACGTGTTCTACAAAATTTTAACAGAAATAATTTCGGAAGAAATACCTTTGAAGAAAAAAAGACGTAACAGAAACACACAAAATCCAGTCTGGTTCAACAGACAAATAAAAAACTTGAAAAATCGGAAGCAAAAAGCACATAAAATTTATAAAAAAACACAATAGTAGTAATAATTTATTAATTTATTTGGATCTATGCAATCAACTGAATTTAGCTATCAGTACTGCATTTGAAGAATATAATGCAAAAACTGAACGTGAAATAAAGTCCTGTCCAAAGAACTTCTTTAATTACGTAAAAACGAAATTAAAATCTGACAAATTTTCCTTCAATAATGCATCTAGACGAAAATGTCGGTGAT